ACTCCTGACCTTAAGTGATCTGCCCTCCTTGGCCTCCCAAAGTGCTGGGATTCCAGGCATGAGCCACCGCACGTGGCCAGTCGTCAGTACTTTCTGATGTGGATTGTAACTGGGAATACTGGATTCCATTTTACTGTCATCAAGCGCACTTTCCGGGGTGAAATCTGGAATGGAAACATTGCAGTGTATGAAATGACCTTCCATACAAATTGCTTGCTATACAGAACCACTGAAAGTGGGTTAAGCATCCAGCAGGTGAAACTGGAATTGAGCAGGACATGAGAGGAGAAAGGCACAATGGCGGGGCCGTCTGTGTGACGGTGGCCATGGTAGAGGAACCCAGCGTGCCCCTCCGAAGGCCCAGGGCGGGCCATGGCAGGGCCCTCCCACCTCAGCCACCCCGTCTGCAGCAGCGTCTCCTGGAGCAGCCTTCTTCAGCTGGGTGGGGATTTTTTCAGTGTGGTCATGCATACCGGCTGCAGCGTCCTCCTCCTTGTCTTTGGTGAGGACCCTGTGCGGTGGAAGCTGCAAACACAGCTGAGAACAGGCTGGCTGGTACGATGAACCCCACAGAGCTTCCCCAGCTGCCAGCTTCCTGGACAACAATCTGCTTCTTCTGTATACTCTCCCACAACCCATTTTGAATTATTCTGAAACAAATTCCAGGCATCATTTTATTCCATCTGTAAACCTTTTGGCATGCACATTTCATTTTTTTAAAAAACTTTTTTATTATGGGAAATTTCAAAGCTAACGGTGGAGAAGCATGTGGTGTGCTCCCTGCACCCACCTCCAACCCCCGATTTACCACTCATGTCTCATCTCTTTCTCCCGTCCCATTCCACCCGGGCTGTTGGAGAGCACATCCTAGACATCGCATCCTTTCATCTACAGATGGCTCGCCATGTCTCTCCAAAAGACAGGGCTCTGGAGTGTCACTGTGAGCACCATCATCACACCTAACCTTGACTGCATTTCTCAGTATCATCAAACGTCCAGTCAGCCTGGGTGTACATATTTTAAGTATTTTACTTCATCAGAAACGGACAAACCCCAGCAGTGCGCTTTTCCCTGGAAAGTGACTTGTGACAGACGTCTTCTTGCATGAGCCGGGCGGCCTGTCTGTCGTTTCCTGGCAGTGGCTTCCTCATGATGCCTTTAACTGGAGGATCTGCTCTCCCTGTGGCCCTGCTGCCTTCATCACACACTCCTAATGCTGGGAGAACCAAAATGCACCAGGGTTTTGGCAGTTTCTTCACTTGGCTTCATGCGTCAGATCAGGAGGCAAAAGCCATGGTGTCCCGGGGCCCTTTGTGGAAGGATTCATCTGTAAATGGTACACACGGACAAGAAGGAGGAGGCCACCTGGGCTGATGAGAACATGGGACAAATACTGTGTTCAAGACACACCCAGGCACCGGAGTCTGCATGCATTCTTTTGGTCCTCAGTGTTTTGTGGTCAGTGGAAACAAACTAGGAACAAAAGTTTCGTGAAGACACACTCATTGATTTTAATCTGCTATTAAATTTTTGCATTTTTTAGTAACCAAAGTATCTAGAACCTTTTCCCTGTAATTTATGTTTGGGTTAGCTGTGAAGAAGCTAAAGGACTATCAAAGAAGTAGTCCCTCCTGTCCAGACCACTTTCTTCGCAGGATCCTGGGGACAGTGCAACCTCATTTGACTGCCACAGCACTACCTCTTTTGAAATGCTGTATGCATGCAAGTGTGGGCTCCGGAAATGTTTGCTGACTGAATGAGTGATGGAGCAAACTCCCTATAACATGAGCATGAAATGCAGCAGGGGCAAACCTGCGAAAATCACCAGATCCAGTGTCTTGGCTGCGTTTCATGTCTGAATAAGCGGGCATCCTCCTGGGCCTCTGGGGGTGAATGCAGTCCTTTCCTGTGGGTCACATGACAAAATAACCCTCTCCCCAAATCTCTAAGGGGTGAAGATCTGACTGATTTATTGTTTATGTTTTAACTCATATTCTTGGAACAAAATCAATGGCCCGTGTTCCAGGTTCCAGGTCTGTTGAACTGATCCATGCGTGTCCTTGATGGCCTTTCCTCCAGTACTGTGTCCAGTTCAGGATTCTGTCTTGTGTCTGGTTTCTGTGTTTCTTTGACCTTCTTAAG